TCGTAATCATAATCGAATTTGAGAATACAATTTACACAACTGCTATCTCCTTAAAATCTCTCTAAGTGAAAGCATTTCCTCACAATCATTTTCAATGAAGGAGGGAAACCTTATGTCACTTAGATTTTATAGTATATGTATTCCTATCCGTATGATTTTTTCCAAAACCAAGGTTTGTGACAAATTCAAGCTCATATGGACTGAACTTGTTCAATTTTGATTCCTTGCCTCATGGTAGCATGAATGCCCACCATGTCTTCCAAGCAACTCACCCCTACATATCAATGTACTTTCCATTGATCAAGGTTCATTGTCTTTATGCCTTCAAATGAGAACTCATAGAACTCACATGCATAATTAACTCAACTAGAATGACACATAAATAAGAGTATGACAGGTTATAAACCTCAAGTCACGTGCTAGTGATGATCAACTAGGTTTACTCTTGATTTGTTCTTGAACCTTTTGAAAACCATTAAGACTCCCATTGACTCCTTGACATGTAAGATTCTATTGTCAAGAAACATTCCTTGACAAAACAAATATATCAAGAGTTAGTGTAGCTTCTTATCAAGTTTAACACTTCACTCAATTGGTCTTAGTTGGTCTTTGTCTTATCCAAGACATCACAACTTACCAATTTCAAATGTACAAGAATAAGAAACTTTCTTATTCTAAATTTGATAAGTGTTACAAACCTACTTAAGACTTGTCACTCAAGTCACAATCTTGGAGTATGACTCTAAGACTTGATTTTGGAACGCAGTATGATTGACTTCTTGATTCAACCATTTCCACAATTCTCGATTCCTCTTCTTAGACATACAAATGGACTAAGACTCACTTAGAGGATCAATCGTGATATGGTTCTCAATCATTAAGACGATCATAAAACACAATAAAAGGTACTCTCCCTTCTTCTTAGAATAGAGAAACTTTTTATCTTTCTGCCTACTTGATTCTTCTTATTCGTTCTACTATTCATTGAAACTCTTCCAATCAACTCATAATTACACTTATTCTTATAAGTATAATCATATTTACTAAACTTTAGTAAATCATGACGAATATCTTTATCACTCTTGTGGTGAACTTGATCAACGCACAACCTAGTGTACTTGATATCCTAGTCCTTCATTTGACACCTTGTCAAAGAATTAGTCTAATTTCCAAATATTAAAGTTTTTCATTCATCATACAATACATGTTGCATGATTCCAAGTTTCTATCCAATTGAAACTTGGGTGATGAGAATCTTTCCTTATTTGGTAAATTCTCGACATTTCCACAAATAGCAAAACAAGAATCATATCCAACGCAACATTGCTAAAATACAAACATCCATTTTAAAACATGCCATTGCAAGGATAAATAAATAAGATAAAACTCAAAATTTATTTTATTGTAGAAAAACTTTTCCTTACAATGCAATTCAACTGAAAACTATGCTATTACACATTCCTAAGCAATTTATTCTAACTCTAAAGTAGCAGCTCACAAATCTGATCTTTGAGTCTATGTGATTGAAATCCATTTCTTCGTGATCAGATTCAGCTCACTTCTTTCTTAAGCTTCCTTTCTTTCTTCGATCCTGCAAAACATCAAAATGTAATCTTATCACATCATGTATTAAGAATCTAGAATAGGAACTTAAAAAGAGCTAGATAGTGGATTTTATCTAAAGTAGAGCCATATGCCATGACTCTCCCATCTCTTAGATCTATCAGGTAGTTTGGGCAGCTTCGTCTCCAATGCCTTTTCTCTTGGCAATAAAAGCAAATGGAATCCTTCGGCACATTACATGGGACAATCTCATATTTAGTCCTTTCTGGACTTCCAATGTTGTCAGTGTCCATTGAATCTTGGGAGTTTGATTCACCAGACAAATTTGCTTGACCAGCACGCCAAATCATTATTGATTCAGCGGCTATAAGCAAATAGGTGAGATCAATTAGGGTCAAGTTGTGTTCCATCATATAGTACTCTCTTACGAACTCATTATATGATTCAGGAAGTGACTGAAGAACCCAGTCAACAGCCAACTCACCTGAAATCTCGACACCCAACATCCTTAACTGGTCAATGTGTGACTTCATCTCTAAGACGTGTGCACACACAGGTTTCCCATCTTCGTGTTTACTTGCCAAAAGGGTTTGAGTGAGCTTGAACTTTTCAAGCCTTCAAACTTGTGGGTTAGGGAGAATAATTGGAGGAGGTGGAGGAAGTGAAGCATGATCTCTTGTTCCTTAATCATACCGTGGAATATCATCTTCAAACAATTCAAGAAGACCATGATTGTCAGAAATAGACATCTACAAAACGGGAGAAAATTCAAGTTAAATTGATTGAGTCCTTAATAAAACACCCAAATGTGATATTAAGCCTAGGATCCAACACAATATTCTACAACCTAGAAGAGGGATGTCGTAATCTAGTTGCAAAATATTTGAAGGTAGGTAAATGACGATTTACCAATTTCCACCATGAAAAACAAAAATGAGGTTTAAGTTTTAAATGAATTGAAACCCCTAGATCTTTTGAGATTCATTGAACTTTTCAATGGCATGTTTAATCTCGATTATTCCCTTCAAGTTCGCAACTGGGATGACGAGGATCACAAACAAGGTGTGAATGACCATATGAATCTACATGGTGCACTCAATGCTACTATCACCTAATCAATGTGCCGGTTAGCCAAACATGCTCCATTGATCAATGATAAACATCGAGCCACCCTTCACTACCAATGGCAATCCCAAATTACTGTGTCGGTTAACCACACACGCTCCACTAACGTTTGACAAGGGTACAAAGTGTAATTCCATGGATTAGCATACAATTTAACATTTTGCCTAAAGTAACTATGATTTGGGAATTTATAAAAGCATTTAGTTACTTTGTACTTCATTATACTTATAATGGAATTTTTCGTCCTATCCTACCCATTCGTCTAACAACCCTCCACCAGTCAAGAGTGCGTTGGGTAAGAGTGGATACCCATTCAATCGCTATTTTATAGGTAATTTCCTTAAACACCCCTTATAGACCAGTTTTGTGAATGAGGCCTACTAACGGTAGGACTCACTCTTTACTCATATATATATATATATATATATATATATATATATATATATATATATATATATATATATAATATTAGACTTTTAATGTTACATATAGTATAAGGGTGTATTTTACACTTTTAAAATACTAGGTAGTTTAATTTAATAAATTATACTCTTAATTTAGTTAAATGTAAACCAAAACTTTATATATATATATATATATATATATATATATATATATATATATATATATATATATATATATATATATATATATAATATTAGACTTTTAATGTTACATATAGTATAAGGGTGTATTTTACACTTTTAAAATACTAGGTAGTTTAATTTAATAAATTATACTCTTAATTTAGTTAAATGTAAACCAAAACTTTATGGATTTATTAACTTTCCTTTAATTATACACTTAATTAATAAAATAAAACCATAATGGTGTAATTTGAACTTTTCAAAGTACTAAGGTTTTAGAATTTAATATTTCAAAATAAATCTTTTAATCAAATTTTAAATTCCAAAGCTTGAGCGCAATTTTTGAACTATTTCAAAACATTAGGGTTTAGAATTTAAATATTTCAAAATTAAACTTTTAATCAAATTTAAATTCCAAAACTGGAGGACAAGTTTTTGAAACTTTTCAAAACTATCTAGATCAAATTACAAATAATTAAATTAATCAAATAATTTGAATTATCTAAATTTGACCTAATTTAATTTTTTTCACAAGATAATTCAAATCAAAATTACAAATAATCAATCTTTAACTAATAAAACAAATAACTATCTTAATTTTGACAATTATCCATTAAATTTGATTAGGATATCAATAATCATAACAAAAAATCTGAGTTGTATTTGAATAAAGCAATTTATGGAAATAATCGTAAAACAAAATAAGGCAGAAAATTCAAAATCGAGCACACAGCTATGCTCACGTTCTGAGCCTGGTTACAGTCCAAAAAACAAATTTTTTTCAGCTTTGAAAATTTACCCTTTGCATCAAATACCTTAGAAAAACACCCTAGGCTCTGATACCAGTGATGGGTTTTGAGCACTACATCATTCCTATGGTGTACATGCAAACCCTAATAGTATTTTGGATCTAGTTTGTCTAATAAACATGCAATTGAATATCCAAAGCCATAAACCCTAGATCTAGCATACAATTAATCATATTAACATAAAATAGGGTTTAGATCTAACCTTTGATTGTTATATAGAAATAACAATCTAATCCTTGGCTTCAGAAAGCTTAGTGCCTCGAGTGTTGCACCTCTAATGGAGTCACAAACACCACTAAGCAACTAGATGAAGAAGAATGAGAGAGGAGGCACCGAAAACGACTAGAAACCCTAAAGGATTCCTTACCCATGTTTTTGGGGCCTTAAGGGTCTTTATATACTTAGGCTATTAGGGTTTTAAACTTAGGAAACCCTAATTTGACTGCTTAGGCCCTAAGCAGTCCATGGACTCCTTTAATTATATCCATTGGACGAATTCCTTATGGGCTTCCCATAGAATTCATCCAACCTGTATTATTAGGTGATCCATAGCCCAATAGCAATTATCTTATAATTACAAATCCAATCCCCTAAGTTTAATTAATCTCTTTTAGCCACAAAATTAATTCTTAATTAATTCTTGACTAATATTAATTAAACTATATGATTTCTCCTTTAATATATTATTCTCATAATATATTAAATCATAATTAAACCTTTCTCTCCTTAATTCATCCTACATATTGTTATGGTGAAGGCAACCCAAAAGGAACATGCTCATAATCGAGTTAAGTACATACCAAAATAGTTATGGACTTAGACACTAATCCAACATGTACTCCCTGCATACTAACCAAAGGACCAATTTCGAAAGAAATTTGCATTTGGTCTAAAACGGAAACTTACAAAAACTTGAATGTTACAGATTCACACCTGTTTGTGTAGCTTGCTTGGTTATGATGATTTGGAGGTTATAAATCCTGAAGGAGGGACAAAAGATGTTGATGTTGAAGCACAAAGAGGAAGATGGAACCAAGAGGTGCATGCATCATATTTTGTTTTTCTTCCATGAAGATTGAATTCCTCACAAATCAAAATATAATTTGCTTTAAATCTCATGTTTCTCTGTACAAGATCGTGATGGTCACTGAAAGATGATGTAGAAGTATGCAGGATCGTGATAGTCATTTTTGACCAATGACAATGTTATAGAAAATGACAGAGGTTTGGAAGATTGAAATCACATGATCTTATTTATGTTTTTGAGTTATTGATATGTTATCTCTTTTTCCCAGTTGATGGAATATTCCCATTTACTAGAGCTAGCCAATGAATGTGAGGATCCATACATGCGATTGGTGTATACTAGTAAGAATCTCTATCTGTCACTAAGAAAAACAATCATTTAAAATTTAATAGTTTATTAATTTTTAGGTTTTTTTGATGTTCGTTTTTTATTATAGCGTCGTGGTTTATATCTCTATATTATGCTTTGCAACGAACCTGGAAGCCTTTCAATCCAACACTTGGTGAAACATATGAAATGGTTAATCATGAGGTAATTACATTCATTATAGATAGATTCAATTATCCTTGGTAAACCTAACAATTATGTAGTTACATGTTATACCTTCTGATAGATTCAATTGTATAGCTTGCTTGGTTATGGAAATCATCTAGGATTTTGCTCATGTGGTTCAACCAGGGCATTGCATTACATTGCTTGTTGTCATACCTTCTTGTAATCTAATTCTCTATTTTTATAAATGTATGCTTCTTTCTTGAACTTCAAATTTGTTATTGATTGTCATTACCATTTTCTCTTTCTTTACTCTAAACTAGGTAAAAGATTTTTGGTTCTTCCAATATTTACTTGAGATTGTGATAGTTGCCATTTGAGGTCATACTTAGGAAAAAGTGATATAGCATATTCCTAATCCCAAATGATTCTTCAACTACATAACATGTATGATCCTAATAAGGTATGCCCATCTAAAGCTTTCCTATTACTCTCTTTTTCTTGATCTTCATAATAACTGGGGAATAATTTACTAATTTTCCCTTATCTCTTAATAGATAAATGTGAAGATAAAAACGATATCTGGATTGCCATATGGAGCAGTGGCTCTAAAGGCCAAACAAATTCATGCTACTTGGGTTTGTTTCAGCTCTATCACGAATGTCCAAAACTGAGTTCTCTGATCCTGAATGACCAGTTTAAAGCATTTGTTTCATCTCAACCCACCACTATTCTTGATCCTACTCAGAAAAAGCAACAAGTTTTGCTTTAGTAAGCCATGCCCCTGTCTCCCCTAATAATATTCTTGTAAGTTGAATAACTCTTTAATTTTGATTGTATAATGTGTATTTTTTGGAGTTTTTGATAAGTTTTTTTTATAATCATCAACATGGGCATGCTTTCATCTTCCCCTTCAATCAACACCTGGTGGTGGAGGCGGCTTATGCCTCTTTTCGACCTGGTTCTTCTAAGCGTCTACTGGAACACCAGATGGTTTGGGTGGTGGTACTTCAAGTCCCCCAGTTCAGCCACTGTTAGCAGCTTCACAAAAATAGTTGCATTAGGTGAGTAACTTGAGCTTCCTGTTCATAGTTCCCTTGTCTTCCCTAGAAGAAAACATAGAAAAACACTTGTACTTTAAAATGATATTTTAAAATTTTAGCAAATCGTCCTCCTTCAATTCTTCTGGTGAGTAATTCGAGTAAAACTCACCCCAAATCCTATTAATCAACCTTGTTGTTATAGCATGTACTGCCTTTCTTTTTGAAACTGTGGGACCCATGGCTGCTCTTGGATTCATGTTTTCTATTTTTGTCGAATCGCCTTTTTCATTACTAACCATTTGGTGAGATGTCTTTGTTACATTTTGTCTTCAAGTCCATACATGTGACAACCCGAAGTTTGCCCCATCACCGTAACCCGTTTCCGCCCATAAAATTCGTCTCTTTGAATTGTTTCCGTTTAAGTTTTAAATTAAGTCATTATTTTTTAGACTTTTATTATGACTTAATTGGTATCCAAACACGTTAGAAACTCATGAAAACATCCCAAACAATTAGTTAGAAAATTTTTAGTTTCGACCATATCGGGTTACGACAACTTAATCGGGAGCGACCAAAAGCATCGTATAACGTCGGTATCGGGTAGAATTCCACCGTGTCCCAAACTTGGAACATATTTAAAGTGGTTTAAGCTTCCATTTGAAGCTTTCACACTCTCTCACTACTCTCTCTCTCTCTAACCTTTCTCCTCAAACCAAATCTAAGGTCCAAAAACATCAAATTTAAGCTCTAAATCACCAAGGTAACTTCCTTAACTCTTAGTATAGCATCTTAGACCTTCAAATCCGAGTTCAAACAATCATTTAGGACCATTTTCATGTGTTTACGGCCCTGAAACATGCTTGGGCCGTAAACACACATATGATGGGTTTTTGAGCCTTTAAACCCTTCCAATCGACCTTTGGAGCTTAGATATGGCTATATGACTTAATGTACAGGACTTAGAACACTTTGAATTCAATTTTTGGGGAGTAAACATGAGTTTACTGCCCAAGAACATGCTTGGGCCGTAAACTCACCTTCATGGAGCGTAAACTCATATTTGAGTGCTTAAAAGCCACTTAAACACACCAATAGCCTTGGATTAAATTCTAGAATCAACCACAATCAATTTAGGGACCTTAAACTTGTTGAAAACCATCCCATGGAGAGTTCACGGCCTTAAACCCCCCTAGAATGGGTTCCTGGGCCGTAAACTCATAAACACAAGTCAAATGATGCCCTAAATTCCATCCAAGGCTTGTAAAATGAGTTTAAATCACATGTGATTGTCCTAGCACCACCAAAACACATAAGGAATGTGTGTGTGGGAGTTTACGGATGTAAACTCCTAATTTACTGCCATAAACTCCATTAAATGGTCCATTTGTAAGTTTAATCCACTCCTATGCCCTAGATTTGATCCTAGCCAATTTTCCCAAGTGAAATAAGACCATTTAGCACCTTAAAACCCATTAACCATGAGTTCACGGCTGTGAACTCATGTGGTCATGGTCTTAGGGAAGTAAAATCCTTAAGGAGTTTACTCTTGAAGAGCAAACTCATTATTTATGCCCCATATGTCCATAGATGTCACCCGGGTCACTCCAAACACTTGATTTGAAGTGTTTTCACGTCTTGGAGTGTAAAATCATATCTAATTAGTAATTTAAAGTCTAATTAGATACATTTGTGTATCATCTAATATTACATAGGAACCTCTCATGTTTTCAAGCCTCGATCCGACGTTTAGCATCCTAGTCGACACACTTCTCGACCGGTGAGTTCATACCCCTACCCTTTTTCAATGTTTTTCACTGTTTTCAGGGGGGAATACAAGCAAAAGTACAAGAATATCTTGTACTTAAATTCATTATTTCATTTGAATGGTTTCATAATCCGTAAACTTTTAAGAATTGAAAACATATTAACAAACTATTTGACTTGCAGAGTTGTTTTTCATACCAAATTTCAATTCTTATTATATAGTGTTATACATTATACTTCGCAATTAATAGTTCACACATTTACTGCTTGAAATCATAGAACTTTGTATTGTCCATAATAAAACACCCCCTAGATACGAGTGTGAAGGACATGTATCATTAGAACTTAGTCAGGTCCTAGTTAGTACTCCCCCTAGATACGAGAGTAAAGAACCAATAAAACCGGGTTTTCTGTATTAATATATTCAGTTTTAAATTCATGAATCTTAAGATTGGAGACATGTCCTTTGCAACACTTCCCCTAGACATGAAAGTGGAGGACTATCCCTGTAACCAGAATCTCCGGAAAAGGGAGAGCATGACTTGAGTGTATAGATCTATACGGGAGTGACTATCCCGCACCTGGCTGCTAGCTACAGCCGAACCGTAAGGTTCAAGGGTGAAAAAAGTCATAGAAGATATTGGCCCCATCTCGAGTTATATCTAGTTTGTAATATGGTTATGGAACTCGCAATCAAGATTATGATAACTTTATACTTATTTATTAGTTTTATATACATGTTAAAACTAATGTACATTAAAGGTAACCAAACTTTCAGGAAACTTCACACACACACTTTAAGTATGGTAGATACTTGTACGTTACTTTCAGATTCGATAACACTTCACAAACATTTTAGGAAAATATAGGATTTTCCTGGGATAACAATTGTACATAACCAAAACCGTGTAACATAACAGATAACTAAACATTTCATTTAAGAAAATATGGGATTTTCTTGAGTCGTAACTTTTTCAAAAACCGAAAGGAACCCGTACAATTTCATAAAACAAAACCGCTTATGAACTCACCAGCTTTATGCTGATTTTTAAAATGCGTGTATTCTCAGGTCCGCATTAGACAGGTACCCGACGACTCTTTTGATGAAGACGGAGTGCGATGAAGACACATCTTACGTTTGTCTATATATATATATATATATATATATGTGTGTGTGTGTGTGTGTGTGTATGTATCATCACTTGTACAACTTTACTTTTGAACAAATGTAAATTTAAATATGTAATGTAATGGTTGTCTACTTTGCTTACTATGTGCATTGGATTCGATACTCAACGTGGAGTCCATCCTGGAAATGTTTCTGCCTTCGATTTTTGGGGTGTGACAATACACAAAAGCACACATTCTGATTGTGTCATCAAGGAACTCTGCAAATTGTTGTAGAATAATTTGGCCATGAACCACTACATATCTTTCTACAATTACAGGGTTCGATGACATGTGAGCATGGTTATTTTAGTCAAATTATGAAAATCTTTATTATGACTTCAAAAAATGATAACTTTGATGCACGAGTTTTTTCTTTTAGCGATGTGGTAATGGCAATGGAAAGTCTTGTTGTCTTCTGAACCGTTTGATACCATTGAGCATATTACTTTGATGGCTTTCCTAGTCTATACCTCAAAACAAATGAATGAAAGCATTAGCATGTTATTTCAAAAATGCTAGTGCTCATTTATATGTTTATTGTATCATTTTACTTTCATTTATTTTATTTATAGCATTGCACTTTCATTAATATTCTAAATACAACAATATACTTCGAAAAAGCTATCCAATTGTATGTGTTTTTGGATGGCATTGCTACAATTTAGTATATTTTTTCAAGTATAATTATGTTACATTACTAAGGTGATATTTATATTTCTTCTATTTGCTTTTGTATCTGTTGCGCCATTATGGTTAGGTAAAAAAGATGTTCAGATGTCAAGAATGATGGTTTTAATGCAAAAGAACATCCTATGTGCTCATGCAAAACCCTAAAGTTTGGATCTAGGTTTCTCTATTGTACAAGTAATTCATCCAAGACTTGTAACCCTAGATCTAGTATCTATAATACGAAATTACCACTATAAGAACATATCTAAGTGATTACCTCTTTCAATTGGCTTGAAATCCTTTGATTCTTCTTCATCTTGAGCTTAGAGTCACAAGTGTAACTCCTCTAATGGCTTACAAACACCACACAAGCAAGAAGGTAATTGTGAGAGAGGAGGGAGGATGCTAAAATTGGATCTAGGGTTTCTCTTGGAGTCAAAGTGCCGAAAATTGCAAGCAAGGGCCTTTATTTATAGTGTAGGCTGCTAGGGTTTCAGTCTAAACCCTAATGGAAAGCTTAGTCACCAAGCAACCCATGGAACCTTCTGGAATAGGGCCTATGGACGAAAATATGATGGATCTCCATCATAATTTCATTCCCCCTTAGTCCATTAGGTTTCCCAACCCAAAACTCAACTATCACACATTTGACAGTTTAAGCCCCTTTATCCAATTAATATCTTTTAGTCAGCAAATTAATTCCTAATTAATTTGTGACAAATATTAATTAAATAATATTATTTCTCCTTTGATATATTATTCTTATATATATTAATAAATCATCATATCTTCTCTCTCTCCTAAATAACCTTGTCAAGTTGCTTTGGTGAAGGCAACCCAAAAGGACCATGCGCAACCGGGTCAAATACATACCAAATATAGTTACGGGCTTAGACACTAATCTAACAGTCTCCCACTTGGATAAGTCTAGTAACTATTTCTCACATATGACTTCAGGATCTGATTAGCAATCGTAGCTCTTATATGCCGCTGTCAACTCTGATTAGTAACTTGTTCATCAGATAAGGGATCGTATAATCCTCCATTCTAGATATCATGCTTACAATACTTATTTTTCAACACTTTGTTTCTCGGTCTCTTATTCGTTCGACGTAGAACTTAGTCGAACACATCAACGTTGTTCTGACCGGGCCCGGCACATAAGTCAAACCAAATCATCGAGTGATCAAGATATCACATTTATCCTATTAGAATAAAAGGAACAAATTAACTTCTACTCATATGATTTTACTATTTACTAATTGAATCATGCACAACAATATGTTTTATAACATCAAGTTAATAATGCGTTTACACATCATTAATGCACAACCAACCAGCAAACAATAACCATATCTCTAAGTTTTAAGACTACAAGATATTATCGCTTTG